ATTATAGATATATATTTTTTTATATGTGTTTTTTTTTCTCTATATCTCTCTATATATATCTATATCTATATTTTTTTATTTTTCTTTTTATATATTTATCTCTCTGTGTTTTTAGATATTCTATTCCAATACAGATATACATATATATCTATCTATTTATATAAAAGAAAGACACAAACACACAAAAAAAAAATATATATATATATATATATATATATATATATATATATATATATATATATATATATATATATATATATATATATATATATTTATTTTATTTTTTGCTTGTTTTTTTTCTCATTGTATGTGTTTAAGTTGATACTATCTATACTTTTTGAAATATAATTTTGTTTTGCCTTCTTTTTTTACTGTAATTTACCATAAAAAGTCATAAATAAATTTTAAAAAAGTATTAAAAGTTGATAAATCAATAATGACAAAGTTAAGGCCCTTAAAAGGTATTAAAAAATCTTAATCACTTTTTTGTGAGGTTTTAAATTTTATTCAAGTGTTGTTCAAAGTGTTTGATCCTGAAAAAAAGTAAAACAATATAATTATTTTTCTCAATGCACGTAATTGGTTTGGGCCGGGGCACGTTCGGCCAAGCTCGTCACATAATTTCCGACAAATGTGGGAAGGTGATGTGACGCTCTCCATATGTAGCGAAACCATAGAGTGAAACAAATGGCAAAATGGGAAAATGTAAGTTTGCGTACGCCTGTTTGGAGAAAGATGAGTTTAAACAGTGGCTGAAGCTTGTCGCTAAAAACAAACGTGTAATTTATTCTTTCAAGCTTTGTTTCTTCCGAGCTTATCTGAGTTCTATTGCATGGTTGTGCTGCATTCGTTTATTTAACTACAACTGTTTAACAACTGTTTATTAAGTTAAGGGTTGGTTACTGACTAGGAATTATAGTGGTGATGAGGTCTTAAAATGTTCTCAGAAGGTTTTTAAAAAGTTGTAAAAGGATATACTGCATATACCCTGATGGATCAAAACAAACGCTAGCACTGGTTGCCAGATTGAGGACCAACAGGAGCATGCCTGACTATTGAGCCTTAATTCTAATTTAGGTCTGATTTAAATGTTCAAAATAAAAGCAATGGCACACAACAGAAGTACTTCAGCATGTACATTTAATAATGTTAAAGATGTTTAATATGTATTAATAAGAGTATAAACCTTACCGTTTTGTGAGTGAGTGCATATTCTGTGCTTCTGAATAAATTTCTGTCATGTTTTGTTTGCTGCAAACAGCCAAATTGCTTATCACTGCAAATCTCATCATGCAGCGTGTTGTTTGGATAGGGGTTTACAATGTAACCAGCTCACCTAATGTTACGCTCGTAATATTTAAATTGTTTGCTATAAATAATCACTTCAGGTTAGGGCTGGGTGATTTTTTTTATTATTATTTTTTTCTATTTTTTTCGATTTATTCGAATTTATGTTTTAAGACAATTTAATTTTATATTAAATAAATTTTTTTTACAATAAAAATGTTAGATACATTATAATTGCACCAATGCACTTTGGTTCACTCTCTGTATGAAGCAGGTAGCACACCAGAAGCGCCGCTCGGCGATGCGCCGCGCAGCACCATGCGTTTTAGATTTCTAAACATAGGTTTCTATCAGGGTACACACACCGGCGCCGCAAGTTGGCAGCGCCCAGCCAGGACTCAGGACGCTGTTCATATTTCAGCCGCGCCACAGAGCGCCATCTGATTAGTTTAATGTTAAACATCATGCGAATGTGCGCGTCTGGTGTGTGATACTTTAAACTGTCATGTGCGCGCCGTGTCGCGGCGCTTCTAGTGTGCGACCTGCTTGACTGCCTGTCTGGGTTTCGATCATGGTAGTGACAGACTGAACACAGAGACTGGACAGCATAATTTAACCCAATGTATGAAGTTGTGGGCATGCATCGCAGAGTTGGTGCAAATTCAACTAATACAAGCATTTAAGTGTCTTAAGTTGTGTATTTTTCTTTTGTTAATACCTTTGCATTAAACCACTCTCAGTCTCACTCTCACACTCCCGCTACTCCAGCACTGCGAGGGGATTTACAGTCAGACTAATGCAACAAGTAAAATCCTACATGACTTCACGCTGTACTAAGTCACGTCTGTGTGGAATGTGAAGACATATTCTCTTATCAAGTCGATAAACTCTACCTTTCAACATGTATGAAGAACGTAAAAACCTGCCCTGTGAAAAACCGCACCGATCTTAGTTTGGTTTGAACACGAGCAGAGGTGAGGGCCTGTAGCAGTGAAAATGAAAGTACCCGCCCCCATGACGCTATTTAGTGGACCTAGTTGAAATCCAGACTTACAGTCTGGCAGCATAATACAGAGAGTGGTGCAAAGCGCATCAAATGATCGGTATTTAAAAGGGGGAAAAATAAAAATAGAATAAATATATTATTTTATAATATACACACATCTGGTGCTTTTGTTTGCTCCTGCTATACGTCCACAACTTCACACACGGGATAAAATTAGGCTTTACTGTTTTCATGTTTAGTCCTTTACTTCCACTGTATCTTTTTAAGAAAAAGGCAGCAGCATTACAACCTGTCATTCAATCAGAAGACAAAGTCAAAGCCAAGCTGACAGCCAATCCTTCCTAGGCTCAGCAAAACTTGCAAAAAAAACCCCTCTGTATTCCTGCAACTGCAATATTTACGCATATATTTATTATTCAAATCTTCTGCAACGATATTTAACTCTTGAATTTGTTTTACATTTATTTACAGCTTGTTGACTAATTTATGTATGGCATGGCCATTAAAAATACAATGTTCCTTAACCAGATGGTTTTTCCAAGTTACTTATAAAGAGAATGTTACTTCAGTCATGTTGTTGTAATGTTTTAAGTTGACTAGTTACACACAAAAAAAAAAAAAAAAAAAAATAGAAATCGTGAATCGGTCAAACTTAATAAAAAACCTAGATTTTTTTTGCCATATCGCCCAGCCCTACCTCAGGTGGAACTCTGAATCTGTGTCTCATTTCGGAGTCTGCTACTGTTCACAGGAGGCCTGTGAAATATGCTGTTTTCCACCAAGGCAACCTGGAATGCTAAAATATAATTGGCTAAAGTGGCATTGGGCGGGGTTAAAAGAACCAAAACAGACAGACGTTCCGGCACATAACAGATATTTTCAAAGCAGAATATCTGACTTCAGCATTGCTTTTCAGATAAACAAGAATGTTCACTTAGCATGTTTCTTAAATATTTGCAAACATATTATGGTATTTTTATGCTTTGGAAGAGTCAAAAACTTACATGCAGCACCTTTACGCCTTTAAATTCCACTTTAAGATAAATACTAGTATCTTGAAATATCTAGTAAATTATTATGTGCTGTCATCATGGCAGAGACAAAATAAATGAGTTGATATAAATGAACTATTATATTTAGAAATGTGTTGAAAAAATCTGCTGAAATTGGTAAAAAAATTATACTGGAGGGCTAATAATTCTGACGAAATTTGAGTCACACACACTTTCTATACTCCACACCAAAGTACAGTATACTGAGGCCAGGGGTGTCCAAACCCGCGGCCCGCCATCAGTTTTGTGGAGGCCCGCGAGGCTTTTTATGAATAGTAATTGAATCTGGCCCGCTATACAAAAATGAACGTAATTCAATTAATAACCACCGGGTGTCGCTATTACATGGCTTCAATTAGGCAGCACTTCTTGTTATGATGTAAAACTAACCGACCAAACTGAAAGAAACATAATTGATAATCACATTTTGGCGAGCCATGGCACAACCAAGAAAAAGGAAAATCAACAGTCAGTGCAGGAAGTTTCAGTCACGTTGGGGTAAAGAATATTTCTTCACAGAGGTCAGTGGAATATGTGTCTGTTTAATTTGCCAGGAATCAGTTGCAGTAATGAAGGAATATAATATGAAAAGACATTATGAAACAAAGCATCAGGCCTTCAGCTCTTACACTGGTGCCGAACGAGATCAAAAAGTAAAACAATCAGCAGCTGCCCTATCAGCTCAACAACAGCAGTTTTTTCATGCTAATAAAGTGCAAGAAAATTCTACACTGCACTGCAAAAAATGTTTGTTTTTTTTATTTAGATTTTTTTCTTGTTTTAAGTCCAAATATCTAAAAAATTTTAATTAAAGGAGAATTGTCTAATTTGTTTTGAGAAAAAATATGCCAATATTAAGTGAGTTTTTCCTTAAAACAAGCAAATTAATCTGCCAATGGGGTAAGCAAAATAATCTTGTTTTTATCTTTTGACATAATATTATTTTGCTTACCCCATTGGCAGATCTTTTGACATAATATTATTTTGCTTACCCCATTGGCAGATTAATTTGCTTGTTTTAAGGAAAAACTCGCTTAATATTAGCATTTTATTTCTCAAAACAAGACAATATGTTTTGCTTGTCTTGAAAATTTTTAGATATTTGGACTCGAATCAAGACAAAAAAATCTAAGTAAGAAAAGCATTTTTTGCAGTGTGGCTAGTTATGAGGTAGCTCAGCTAATCGCACAGCACAGGAAACCCTTCACTGAAGGAGAATTTATAAAGGATGAGTGTTGCAACTGTAATTTGCCCAGAGAAGATTCAAGTTTTTTAAAAACTTGAGTCTTTCTAGAAACACAGGTGGACGACCAAAATAAAATAATTCCATAATAATATGCACAAACACATCTATCCATCCATATATATATATATATATATATATATATATATATATGCGTGTCTGTGTGATGTATGTAAAATTTGGCCCGGGACAACTTTTTTTTTTTTTTTTTTTTTTTTTTACATCTGGCCCTCGGCCCAAAAAGTTTGGACACCCCTGACTTAGGCGTTCAGTGTTCCGATGCTATTGTAATTTTATCCATATTTCTATATGTTATACCTGTCCTGTTCTTTTCGCCAGTTGCATGTGTCTTTTTTCTCCCCCTTCCCACTTCTTCACTCTCCTTTTTCTTGTATTGTCTTTTGTCCACTTCATTTTTTTTCTAATCATGGTATCCTTTCCTTTTCCACTCTTTTTGTTTCTGTCTCGTCCCCTTCCGTCTCACTCCTCTCCTCATCTTCATTCTGCTTGTGACCTGCTGTGGTCCCACTAACCCAAAGCTTCCTGAATTCTTGGTCACCCAGCGACACTCCTCTGTCCTCCCTGGAGCCGTGTGACGTCCCGCAGATGGACATGTCCCGCTGCTGTGGACTCAAGCCCTCTGTGTTGTTCGACCTCATCCTGATGACTGGCATCTTGGAAGAACAGGAGCCCCCCTCTACATCATCCGGGATGCAACGAAACCGGATCAGCTCAGAAGGTGGCCCACGTAATGAACTGGAGAGACGTTTGGATGAGGATATTGCTCGTATTATTATGGACGAGGAGAGCATGAGCTGTCCGGTGGATGAGGATCGAAATAAAGTAGAGGACAGAAGAGATGAGAACCAAGAGGACACGTTCAGACCCCTTATAAAGTCCACCGAATCAACATGTGCACCAATACTCGCGCCTCAACCGAGAGCGGACTTTTTTGCATTGGAACTACGCGCAGTTCGCATTTCCTACCTCCTGTTGGGGGCGCTAAAATCCCTGGCTGTCATTTTGAGCTGCGGGAAGTTCACTGATCTCCTCCTGGTTCCCAAATCAGACGCGGTGGTGAATGTAACAAGCCCTGACCCAGCGAGGACCTCTGCTGTTGGGGAGGAGAATGCCGAGTTGCGCTCTGTGCTGCAGTTTGTGGTTCGGAGCATGGTGAAGTGGGCCGTCAGACCCTGTCCTATCAAACAGGCCATGGCTTTATCTGACCTGGAGAGGGCCCAGATTATCATCTTTAAAGGAGCGCTGAGCAGATTGCAAGAGGATGGGAGCAAAGAACACAAAGGTTTGGAGATTTTGAAAGAGACAAAAGAGGGTTGAATGCTGAATATCTCTTTGTTTGGTTTTGTGTGCTAAAACTATAATATGTGGAATAATGATAAAAATTAATTATAAATGTATATTATTTATAATTAAATAATATAAAATTATAATAATAACAATAACAACAATAATAGTGTTTATTTTTATTATTTATATTACTATAATAATAATAATAATAATTATTATTATTATTATTATTATTATTATTTTATATTAGTATTATTATTATTATTATTATAGTAATATTAATAATAATAATAAAAATAATAATAATAATAATAATAATTATTATTATTATTATTATTATTATTATTATATAATAGTAATATTAATAATGAAAATAATTATTATTATTATTGTAATATATTGCAGCTCATTTGTTTAAAAGTATTAATAAAATATTGACAATTAATTATTATAATAGTATAATTATAAGAAATTATTATTATTAGTATTGGTGTATAACATTTTATAATTTAACATTGGTGTTGCAAATTATTATTTCTGTTGATTTACTTGTTTTAATTTATATAATTTGGTTGTTGTTTCATAATGTAATAACTTTTAATATTATAATAATTATTATGGTTGTTAATTTATTACAGC